CCCGAAACTTTGCCCACTCGATTCAAGGATTAAGATGGACTACGAGGCGCTCAAAGAGCAATGGAGCGAGGTGGAAGAGCGTGATGGTGTGCGCTTAAGTTGGAACGTTTTCCCCAGCTCGCGTATGGTTAGTGGCGAAATATTCCCATGATGCCATTTTGCACTGCTAATGCAGTTGTAGGAAGCTTCGAGGCTCGTGGTTCCCATTGGAGCTCTCTACACGCCTTTGAAAGAGAAGCCCGACACGCCTCTGCTCCAATTTGAGCCAGTGACTTGCAAGCAACCTTGCCGCTCTGTTCTGAACCCTTTCTGGTGCGTTCTCCATCCGCTTGTCTCTCCGTGCCACAATGTCACAAACCAGAGTCATATGACGGAGGACCGACATCCCTCAGCCAAGTTGTACTCGAAAGCCTCTAACCCTTTCGGTAGCCAAGTTGATGTCCGGGCCAGAGTTTGGATATGTCCCTTCTGCCTCTCGAGAAACCAGTTGCCTCCGCATTATAAAGACATCACCGCCAACGCAATTCCGCCGGAATTGCACCCAGCCAATACCACCATTGAGTATCGCTTGTCGCGGCCAGCTCCCGCTCCGCCCATTTTTCTATACGTGGTCGACCTTTGCCAGGAAGAAGATGGCTTAACCTCACTGAAGGAGTCTCTTGTCATGAGCTTGAGCCTTTTGCCTGAAAATGCCCTTGTTGGCCTCATCACGTTTGGCACCATGGTATGGTACAATGAAACACAAGTGTGTGTGTCAACTCATGGCTGATGACAAGAATCTAGGCTCAGGTACATGAAATTGGATATGAAGGCTGCGCTAAGTCTTATGTTTTCCGAGGTAGTAAGGATTACAGTGCAAAGCAGGTTCAGGAAATGTTGGGACTGTCCTCTTCTGGGATTCGTCCTGGTAGTCACGCCCAGCCTGGACGCCCTGCGCCAATGGGCCCTGCCTCGAGGTTCCTTCTCCCAGTTCAGCAGGCTGAATTCTCGCTCACCAAGGCTCTGGAATCCCTCCAGAAAGACCCTTGGCCTACTGCCAATGACCGGCGAAGTCTTAGATGCACAGGTGTGGCCTTGAGCGTTGCCATAGGCCTAATGGAATCTTCATTCCAAAATGCCGGCGGCCGCATAATGTTGTTTGCTGGTGGACCTGCAACCGAGGGGCCCGGAATGGTGGTAGGGCCTGAGCTTCGCGAACCCATCAGGTCACATCACGATATTGATCGTGATAATGTGAAATACTACAAGAAGGCCTTGAAGGTAGGCTCACGAGATTATTGCCCAGCGGATATTTTACTAACCATACTCTTTCGATGTAGTTTTACGATAACCTGGCGAAGCGTACGGCCCACAATGGCCACATTATTGACATATTTGCAGGCTGTCTCGACCAGGTTGGCCTTCTAGAAATGAAGGGCCTGTGCAACTCTACAGGCGGCCATATGATTCTCACGGACAGTTTCACATCATCGATGTTCAAGCAATCATTTGTTCGTATCTTCGAAAAGGACGGGGATGACAATCTTTTGATGGGCTTCAATGCAGTCCTGGAAGTGCTTACTACGAAGGAGTTGAAAGTTACTGGCCTGATTGGGCATGCTGTGTCACTAAACAAGAAGTCCGTGTCGGTCGGTGAAACGGAATGTGGCATTGGCAACACATGTTCGTGGAAGATGTGCGGGATCGATCCACAGGCGAGCTACGGCATATATTTTGAAGTTGCAAGCCAAGGCCCAGCGACTCACCAACAAGCCCCACAGAAAGGCATGATGCAATTCTTAACTTACTACCAGCATTCTTCTGGACAGTTTCATCTTCGTGTCACCACTGTTGCACGGAACTTAAGCGGCCCTGCTGGAGATCCCGCAATTGCTCAGTCATTTGACCAAGAAGCCGCTGCCGTACTCATGTCTCGAATTGCGGTCTTTAAGTCAGAAGTTGATGATGGGCCAGACGTGCTCCGATGGGTAGACAGAATGCTCATTCGGCTTTGTTCGAGGTTTGCTGATTATCGGAAGGATGACCCTTCGTCTTTTAGACTGGAGAAGAACTTCACTCTGTATCCACAGTTTATGTTTCACCTCCGAAGGAGCCAGTTCTTGCAAGTCTTCAACAATTCCCCGGATGAGACTGCGTTTGACCGACATGTCTTGAACCACGAAGATGTGGGCAACTCTCTCATCATGATCCAGCCGACACTGGACTCATATACTTTTGACCAGGAAGGTGGACAGCCTGTTTTACTTGACTCTGCCTCAATCCAGCCGACGCATATCCTGCTTTTAGACACATTTTTCCATATCCTCATCTTTCATGGAGAGACCATCGCGGAGTGGCGAAAAGCGGGCTACCAAGATCAAGAAGGCTACGAAAACTTTGCTGCACTGTTAGAGCAACCAAAGGAAGATGCCAGGGTAAGTTATATAGGGAAAAAAACATTAATTAGATGATGCTAACTTAGTCTCAGGACCTGATCACTGATCGGTTTCCATTGCCTCGGTTCGTTGTGTGCGATGCGGGTGGTTCTCAGGCGCGATTCCTGTTGTCCAAGTTGAACCCTTCGACAACTCACACAACGGGTCCGTATGGGGGCGGCGGGACCTCTTCGGCTCAAACTATCTTCACTGACGATGTATCCTTGCAGACGTTTATGGATCACCTTATGAAGTAAGTGATCGGAGCCCCAATATCCTTGTACGGTCAGGCGAGAGCTAACCTCTCTTAATAGGCTTGCGGTTAGTGGTACCAGTTAACATAGCATGTATTGGCAATGCGACATTTTGGCTCGCGTCTGTTTGCTGCAGCTAGCAGGGATAGAATGATGATGTCTTTTGGGGCAATAAGCTAGCTAATATACGTACGTATGTACGTACCTAAGTAATTACATGTAATTTCAGAGTGAAGTTAGCGGTGGTAGATTCACAAGGGCACATGGATACCACAAGCTAGCTACGCGCGCGGCCCCTGGTTCTGGTGACAGTACAGTTATCACAAGACAGGTCCTAAATTATCACGAGTTTTAAAAGTCTAACGTCTTGAATAAAGATTCTAAGGTTAGTCACTGAAATACACCTTATACCTACTAAGTACCTAGCGTACTTAAGTACCTAGGTAGTATTGCCCGGGGACTCGCTTAGTGGCTCGTCATGTGATTATGTAAGTACGGAGCACGTAACAACATGCACTGCCAGCTACTTGTGTCACGCCCCATATTAGGTAATGCAGCAAGCAAAGCCCTTACTGCCTGAGGTGTTAGTGAATTACCCGCTTCGCGAGGTGCAGTTAGGGCAGACCAGTGGGGCACACATAAGTTTCACCGGCCTCTTGTGACATTTTTTGTTTTTCTTCCATCACTTAACACACACGGCACGCAAACCACGAGCCTCTGCCAATTCTGATCAGTCAATATGCGTAAGTCTCAATTGATAAGGTCATATCATTTCGCTGCAGGTGCTAACTTTCAAGTTCAACAGCTCCCAAATTCGACCCCAACGAGATCAAGATCATGTTCGTGGTTCTTACGGCAATATTTCAAAGAAAACGTAGACTGACATGCTTAACCTAGCCACCTCCGTGCCACTGGCGGCGAGGTGGGTGCTTCATCTGCTTTGGCTCCCAAGATTGGTCCTCTGGGTTTGTCTCCAAAGAAAGTCGGAGAAGACATCGCTAAGGCCACCGGAGATTGGGTAACCTCCCTTCCTACGTTATAACGCATCAACCCAGGCAGATTACTAACCCCAATGCTAGAAAGGCTTGCGCGTGACTGTCAAGCTTACCATTCAGAACCGTCAGGCTGCCGTGTCTGTCGTTCCTACCGCTTCATCCCTAATCATTAGGGCTCTGAAGGAACCTCCTCGCGATAGAAAGAAGGAGAAGAACATCAAGCATAATAAGTCGGTCAGCCTCGATGAAATCATTGAAATTGCCCGAACTATGCGATACAAGTCTTTCGCCAAGGAGCTCAAGGGTACAGTCAAGGAGATCTTAGGAACCGCCTACAGCGTTGGTTGCCAGGTTGATGGCAAGGCTCCTAAGGTTATCATCGAGGCTATCGACAGTGGCGATATTGACAGTATGTCTTACCATCATCTTTCTGAGCTCTTTGTCTCGTGGTGTTCGAACTCGCTGGTATGAGATAGCTGACAAGTTCAATCTAGTCCCCGAAGAGTAGAGATCCGTCGAAAACACAAAACACTCATCAGAGCAAGCTATGTTGGCAATGAACTTCATGGGTAGTGATAATGGCACATCATGAGCGGCGTAGTAGTCACCTGTATGACAACGTGGTTCAGTTTCGAAACGTCCCCTTGCAGTGACTCATAGTGTGATGTAAGAAAGCGAACATAAATCCTCGGCTACACTCTGAGATTGACCAGACTCCACGGTGGTCTATTTCAATTTTTGCTCGAGGAAGAATAAATCTCATTGTGGCCCCTTACTCACCGCGACACTCTGGCTTATTTTGGCCCGCTGAGTGTAGTGGTCCATTTATCTGGCCAACATATCTCCAAACCTAACTCAGGGCTTGTTACCCAACCTCCGGCGAATCAATGCATCCATAATAAGTCCATGTTGAATATTGTAAGAATGGGCGTTAGTCTCCTCTGGCGGTATCTTACCGTCTGTGATGCTCTTTGTCGATACAATATATAACTTGTGGGCTGTTCAAATCCGTTGTCCTCCACTTCAGGCATTTCATCTTGTGGTCGCTTTTAGACCATACCACTCATTGTCGGGCAGAGCATCGTGCAGTGATGGGAATTGTGTTGGTCCTGCATATTAAGTGCAAAGACTGGGCCTTGAATGTTCTGTCCTTATTTTCCATGTCTCGTATATAGGGTACCTACTTCTGCTAGTATATCCATACCTACCTAGGTAGGTAGATATCATATCATACCAACACTATTGTTTACAGTGTGAGGAAATGGTATTTACCCACCTCAATTCATGGTCTATCATGTGTCACTTGCTTGCTGGTTATGGGGACACGACTTGTTTTCATGGCACTAGTCAGTGGCATTGGCGACAAAAACCGCTTGGCAGCAATCCTACGGGAAAACGTACAAGTGCCAAGGCATGACTTGCCGTATGCTTGGTCTGTTAAACCATGAGTTTCTTGTCTTTGCTCGTGTCACCGTATTTCCAGAACACAGTCACCGCAACATTATCCGCAGCCTCCGGTGAGCTGGCTGCCTCTCCGACTCGAGTTCTCGGCCCTCCTGTTACACAGTCACCAGTCACCGGTAGGACATGCGATGCGAGCTTGCTCTGAAGTCGGTGCAGGAAGTGGTTACTATTGGACGACAGGATTGATTGATAGGCCTAATCACCTTGGTGAGTGTAGGGTAAGAGATTGATTCGATACTGTGCGAGCGCATGCGGACCACAGGAGGATGGATCTCTCTGAATTTAATACTTCTGCAGCTGGGCTGGGTTGTAGTCCCGTTTACTAAAGTATGCAATGTTTCCCCTGCTGGGGGAACTGTTGTCACACATTCTAGAAGTCGGCTATGTAGTCGTCGCAAGCTTGCCTTCTTAGAGGCGGTCACCTCCACCGCGCCACAGCACAAGCCACCAAAAGCAACACCTTTCCCTTGGACCAACGTCAACTCAACGCTGTTGTGCTTGGCATGTCAGCACATCGCTTCCTGACCCTATCCCCTCCCTTCCTCCTCTCCAGCACAGAAACCCACATCATCACCGACAACGGTGACACACGGCGCCTCACTTCTAATCGCACTCTCGCATCCCGAGACAGCATCATAGGTCTATTCTCAGGACAGCACGTTGGACACCCTTGGGCAGCCGCAGAGCTCCAGCGTCATCCACGGGGAAGACGCCGTTAGCAGCCCCAAATGCGTCTCAACTACTACACATCATCAGCCATGCGTTGAGCGGCAAGTCATGATCGAATGCTGACTTGCCAGCCGTCGTTCATTTTTCGTTGACTTTGTATGATTCAGACGCCCCAGTTTCTTTCGGATATGCTTCCTGCACCGCCGATGCATCCTGGTACCGTGCCAGGACCACAAGCTTTCAACAGCTTATCCAACATACCTGGACAAGAAGCCAACGGACACAACGATGGCCACGCCCGCCGATTTGTACCAAACCATAGACGTTCTTTTCCGATCAGGATATCGCAGTCGTCGCAACAGGCTGCCATGCCAACTGCTCATCTCGGTTCATTTACGACCGAGCACAACCTTCGCAGAAAGACGCCGGGCGGAACGGTCGAGGCGGGATACGATGGTTCGCCGATTCAGCCATTCCCGGGACCACCACCATTGAAACAGATGATACTCCCCATGTCAGCTGGCTTAACATCCTACTTTCCACCGGACCCTTTGCTGGGATCTATACAACCGCCGCACATCCAATTCAATGTGCTCGGTAGCAGCTATAGTCACGGCTCTCACCCCCCAGCAAACCTTCAGCCTGGTGCCTGGGCCTACAGTGACGCAACACCCAATGGGTTTGACCTTTCGACGGTTCTGAACAGTGGTTCACGCTTGCTGAATACCAGCAATGTCCAAGCCATGGGTCAGCCTTCAGATCTTTACCAGCCAGTCATTCGAGCGAATGAGCACAACCTCCGTGCCTTCTGCCCGCCTCCAGCTCCAACCAGTGGTTCATTGCTATTTGGTCATATGGGCTGGCAGCCGGGATCTTCGCCATGGGACCATAGCAACTATGACAAAAACCCGGGCCTTGGTATTCCATACACGGCACCAGATATAAACCATACCGGATATGGTCAACATGGCAGCGTCGTATCCCAGCACTCACAATTATACGGCAAGTATCAAGGGCTAGATAGAGGGACAAGATATTCTGGACACAGTCCACGGTGGGGGTTTCAAACATACCAAAGTCCTCGCTCAAGGACTGATGGCCAAAGGGTGACTTCGATCGGAGAGTCACATCTTCGGGACAAAGCCTTACAGCAATCATATCAAAGCTATGTGGAACTGCTTTCATATTTGCAAGCCAGTGGCAAAACGAGCCCAACGAGAAGTAGCCCTGGCTCCTTCAGTTCCTGCAAACTCCCGGCGTATCCCAAACCACCGAAGCTACAGAGCCTTAGAATGGTCAAAAGCGTCAATCTCGCGGGCCCCAACGCGACATCTGCTAATAGTATGAGTCAAGGCTCGGCCGAGCATGGTGGACGATGTACTCTGGATAGCGGCCGGTCCTTACACAGGCACGCTCCCTATAGCCAACCAATCCCTAATGGTAACAACGTATACTCTTTGGAACAAAAATTTGTCTCGGCAAACCCGAGTATCTCAGCACCTTCATTTAGCAACATAACAACCGCAGTCCATCCATTACCGGTATCCAATGCTCTGACATCTCTAGACATTCTTAATAATCTCTGCGAACAAACCAAGTGGCAATGGATCGAAGGTATGCTTGTCGGAGGTTGCCTTCTATACTGCCTAGAGAGGTATGATGACGCGTTAAAATGGTTCTCAGCAATAATTAAGCTGGATTCCGGGTGAGTATACCTCATCATGAGGAATTATTGCCTCAACCACTAATCAAGTTGTCTCGTAGTCAAGTTGAGGCCACTACACATCTTGGTGCAGCTCTGTACTGTCTTGGCCGCCAGGATGAAGCTGAGCAGAACTGGCTTCGGGCGGTAAAGCTAGAACCAAGCTATTTAGATGCAACGGAACATCTAGTAGGGTACTTGTACAAAAACCGGAGCGGGGAAGCTATCGAAGTTATAGCATATGTCCAGAAAGCTTTAGGCCCCGTTATCGCCAGTACGAACTCTACCCAATCAAAGGCGCCACTGCCTATCCTAGGAAGTGGAAATGAACTAGTTGTACCAGGCTCCCAGTCTCAATTTCTGAACGGGGGCGGCAGTAGCAATACCCCTGGATTCGGATCCAGTGGTTACTTGCTGTCTGGTATAGATAACGGCAGAATGCTGGCCCTAGTTCATGCAAAAGGAACATTGCTCTATAGCCAAAAGGACACTGAGCGTGCGTCGGAAGCCTTCCAGGAAGCTGTTTTGATCAGCCTTGGACGACAAGTTACAGGGATCCAGGAACTTATTCGTCGTATCCAAGTCGCGCTCTCACCAAGAACATGCCAAAATGCTTCTAGCAAAAAGTCACAATCTCTGCAGCCGTTGATGTTGTCTCCAGAAAAAGCCCGGCATACCGCCCATCTTGTTTTTGGTGGCACCGGTGAACTACCTGGTCTCCAATTTCTCCGAAACGGGCCATCTAAGCGTGCTGCTGTGCAAACGACAAGCAACTCATTGCTATCGCTGGCTAAAATCTTGCAAGACGCCATGTCTAGTGGCAAAGTGGATTTTGGCCTCTTTCGTGGCTCATCGCAAGTCGGCGATATACTTGCTCTATACTATCTTTCTTTGTCGCTTCAAGAGAGTCCATCTACAGCCAATAATGTTGGCATTCTTCTCGCTGGAGTTCAACAAGGCATTGCCGCATCCTCAAACACAGCTGGCAGAACAATGCCGCAAACTAGTATACCTGGTATTGCCCCTGGAAGTGGCCTTGCCCTAGCACTTGCGTATTATAATTATGGCCTTAAACTCGATCCGAACCATGTTCATCTTTATACAAATCTTGGCAGCTTGCTGAAGGATGTTGGCCAACTGGACTTCGCAATAGGAATGTACGAACGCGCAGTATCCTGTGACGGGACGTTTGACATTGCTCTCACGAATCTTGCCAATGCTGTCAAAGACAAGGGCCGGATAAACGATGCCATTCACTACTATCGACGCGCAGTAAACGCGAATCCTGGGTTCGCGGAGGCTGTTTGCGGGCTTTTTACGGCCCTTAATTCCGTGTGCAACTGGCGTGGCCGTGGCGGTGTGTTTCTAGAATCTGGGAAGTACGACCGGTGGCATGTCAATAGTGAGGGAATGCTCGTTGACGCTCAAACTAGTGGGTGCAGCAGCGGTCTCACTAGGCGCGTCGTCGATATCGTGAGCCAACAACTCAAGGATGCATCTCACTGGGGCCAAGGGATGTTGCGGGAATCCGCTATATGTGATTTAGCAAAGCAACTGCAACATCTTTGCAAAGACCCATCGTTTCGACTAGAGGAAGCCCTTCGCCGATGGGCTGATCAGCCATGGGAAGGATCTCGGCTTTTGCGACTGATAGAGCGTGCCACACGAGTGTT